CTTATGCTTATTTGTTTTAATCCAGGGAGTGCTAAGAATGTCTACTACTGGGAAAAGGAAGTTATGTAAAAAGGGATTTGCAATTGAAGATAAAGACCAGCAATTAGTTCTTGACTCACCAGCAAGGAATACTAGAAGCTATGCAAAACTTTGAAGGGGTATGAAAACCCTCTACTTAGTACCAATTTGTTTTAAGCATACCATTATATGTAGACTACATGCTCATATACTTAAAAGTATTTAGGTGTAGCTGTGAAGTATCTATAATCTTTAGTGTAGTTTCTCAACGATTTTGACGTAGCTTCTCAAAGGTTAGTATTCTTTTATCTCTGACTCTCATGATTGTATGTCCATTACTGAAAATGTGACATACTTTGGACATTAGAATTTTAATTGTGTTGTTACTTGGCAATCAAGATGAAATTTGTTTTGCTGGACTAATTTTGTGACAGGTCAATAGTTGCTTTGCTGGAGGAGATGACCTTTTTGTTGGAGCATTTTGTCAAGATGCATTATTTACTTAACCATTTCACTTGGCTAGACGTTTTGGATACTTTGATATCTCTAGCTATGTCAATTTTATTTTCCGATTTGTGCTTTAATTTCTTTCTTGTTCTTTTTTTTTGGGTGATAGTATCCCAACGAGTCACCTCAGATTAATCTTATAGAGTCAAAGGGTCTTGATGAACAAAGGCAAAAGCTTTTAGTGACTTACATCCGAGACAAAGCGAGTGAACTATCCTCTTGTTTAATGCTCGTGGAATTTGACTTGGGAAATCATTTCAGTAGGATATTATTTGAGAAATTGATGGGTTGAAACGATGTAATATAATTAAAGATTTTGGAGTTATTCAATTATAGATGATAAATAAATTAATGCAATCCCACATTGATTTTGGGCAGAAAATGCGTCTTTAAAATCATTAATGGAGTCTTGAAATCTCTTCTTCTGTCACCTTTGTCATATGAGAATATTTTATGGCTATGTTTCTAAACCTATTTTACTTTCCTAATTATACAGGTTTAACAGTGGAGATGACTTTTTTGTTGAAGCATTTTGTCAAGATGGAAGGATTTACTTCACCATTGCACTTAGACGTTTTGGAGATGACTTCTCTGTTTTCTTTACTTGTTTTGAATGTTAAAGTTTTGGACACTGTATGAATTATGTTGTAGACGTAATTTTATTGACAGCTTGGTAGATACTGATAACAATTGATATGTTGAATGTTTTTATGTTTTAATTTGAATGTTCCTATTTAGATATATCACATAGCTCATAATTATCATTTATTTGAATGAATTCAAAAGGATATTAATAATAATTTTAAAAAGTTATAACAGTATGAACATAACAAGGAAAAAAAGTTATTAATCTGTATTGTAGCTATGCTAAAGAGCTGTAAGAGGATGAAAATAACTTTTCTTACACGCTATGATACTTCAATTCTATAGCGCTTTTTATAACTCTCTTGAAACGCTATGTTTTCTTAGGACTTATAATAGTGCCCGCTGTCCTAGCGCTCTAAAAAGCGCTATTGATAGTGATTAATAGCGTTTTTCGTCAGCTACAAAAGGCCTTTTGTGGTGTAGTGAGCGCAGAGAGGAAGCTGGAAGATGAAGATGATGATCAGAAGGGTGACAAGTGGCACTGCAGGGAGAGGACACGTGGAGGCTTCTTCGTGAGAGAGTTTCGATTGCCTGACAACTCCAAGGTTGATGAGATTAAGGCTTCGATGAGTGATGGGGTTTTGGAGATTGTTGTTCCGAAGCTACAGGAAGTGAAGAATAAGAATAAGCAGGTCAAACATAAGAGGGCAGTTGAGATTGATGGAGAAGAAGCTGATCATGCAGGAAATGCTCCCAAAGGACTTGGCCGTTTTGTTTGCTGCAAGGCTTAGACAATACAAAGAGCGATATTTTGTAATCATAATCGAGTACAAATTATATAAGCATTTGTACTTAAATTCTACTAAAAAAGCATGTACTCTCCTTTTGTGAGTTTTAAGGGGGAAAAAAAACTTTTGTCATTAATTTTTTAGTTATTTGATTTTTTTTAATGCAGTAAATAGGACGCGTATTCCCCTGAATTTGTGATGTGTGATTAAAGTTTTGTTGTTTCATTTTATTTATTTTTTCCTTTAGATTCTTTACATTTTTTTTTTAAAAATGAACCATCACAAACTTTATTAAACCTACCGAGCGGCATTTAGCAACAAACTTTAGTATTCTGGATGATTCTGCTATTCAGTACTCGCTGATTAGAGGTTTTTTTATTTTTTATTATTTCATATTATTTTTTTATGGATTATAGGAATAGGAATGACAAGAAATGCAGTTATACCTTACAGTTTAGGATTATTTTGACTGCCTCGGAAAACCAAGGATTATGTATAGCTTTTTGTTGTCTTGACATTACAGCTATCTGACTTGTACATTATTACTTCTTTATTGTGTGTGTATAACATACGCATACACAATGACAGAAGGTGTAGCATATAATAAGGTTCTTGTTTTGTTTTTATACATTCATAACTTTATCACTTCAGAATAAAATCTTGGACCGAGTTTTTCAAGTCGTAGCAAGAGCGCATTTTATATGAACAGAGATCAGACAAAATTTTATCAGCCTCTATCATTACAGATGTCTTCAGGAGTCCAAGGGAAACATTCATGGACAACAAAAATAGCCAAACTAAAAATTACTAGACACCTGAACTTAAAAACCCTTCAGGATCAATATATATATATATATATACACATATATATGTTCCTTTCAGGATCAAGGAGCTTCCTCTCTGCTGAATTCTATTTTGCTCCAGAGATGTTTACAAGTTTTGCGCTGCGAGAGTTTGGATCTACCTCTACTCTGAGACCGAGTTCAAAAATCTCAGGAGTATTAACAGATCCTTGAAGCTCCAGTTCAGCCACAACTCGTTGGTTCTCCTCATTGCCTTCTAACAAATTCCTTACAGACCAAATGCCCCACTCCCTCAAGAATGGATTGTCCTCATCGGTAACACACTGCTGTAAGAGCAAGAGAATTCCATTCTTCTGTCTTATCTCATCTTGTACCTGCTTTCTACCATATGAACAATTTCCAATCACGGCAACAATGTCCCTTCTGAATCCTTTGTAAGGGCAGGGCTTTGCTGAGCATGAATTTCCCTCTTCGTTTTCCCCCCGTTTCATGGCCTTTCTGATTATCGCCGGAGGCTCAAGCTCTCGGAGCAAACTTAAAAGCAGTTCAACAAGTCCTGAGGATAGTAGCATACTGACAGCATCCACTGGTTTCTCCTCAGAGCCTCTCGGATCCTCTAGGGAACAGATATCTCTTAGAATTGTTAGTGAGTATCCAAGAACGCGCGAAGCGAACTCATTTGGAACCGTGATCTCTTCAATTCGCTCATTCAATATATCTGAAACCATTCTCAAAACAAATGCTTGTTAGGATGAGAGCGCGATATCTCCAACCTCAACAGCTTCAGCTTTTGCAACGCCCAACTCAGAAAAAAGGGGAGCAAAGTAAGGTTGTTCTAAGCACACTCTTGAAAGAAGCAACTTCAACCAATCTTCTCCAAATCCAACTAGTAAAACACCCAATAAGGGAAATCACTAAATGGGCACACGACTAAAGCACAAAGTGTGATAATAACAAAATAAGTTTTCAAGAAAAATGGAGTGATTCTCACCTGCAGCAGTAGTGCTTATAATTTCCTTCGCAATGGGCAGCCCATAGCCACTGCAGATCTCAGTAAGCAGTCCAGGATTTCCATCACAGCAAGTAAATATGACCATGCACAATGGATCACAAACCTCCCTACTCCGGAGTCTTGCAAGAGAAAGAAACTCTTGTGGGAAAAATTGACGCCACATTTCACGCTGATGCTCTTCACCAGCCAAGGAAACATTAGCAAGTACTTGCAATCCAATTCGGATGATACCATAATCTGCCCCGGAACAAAGTCTTGCTGACCTAAAAACATTCAAAACAGCTCCAACACCGTTTTGTTCAACAAATATATTCTGATTCGCAACCTCACCCGCACAAAGATTTCTTAGGAGCCTTAATGACAAAAGCAGTAATTGATGACCCAACGGATAAGGAAGGGATCGAACCAGCTGAATGATCACGGGAAGAATACGCCTAGAAGCTAGGTCTGCACGACCATCTACCGTTCTGGAAACTTCTATAAGCGACTCTAAGGACTTTTCCAAGGTGGGTGAGTTCGAAGCACTACATAATAAATGGATAACATCTTCTTCTACACACAACTCCAGCAATGATGTATCTTCCATGACTCTTAAGCCAAAATACTAAAGAACTAAAAAACCAAACTGCTATCCAATAATTCTCCTTCCTTAAGTCCTCTATTTGGATCTTTGATTCCAGAGCTAGAAAGACAAATACCCCGTCACACAATGTTGCGGCAAGTATCATTATAGAGAATCAGTTCACTGTTTGTATTCAATTGGAGGAATATTTGAGTGTTTGGCTGAACACACAAAAAATAAAATAAAATGTGTTCAGTAAATTAACATTTCTAATGAAATACCAAAAGTATGATTATGTTAAAGCAGATAATTCTTGTTTTTAATAATTCCTAGTCTATTTCTTCTGTACAGATATTTACTTAATTCTCTGTTGTACAAGATTAGGGACACGTGTATAGCAATTGGTATAATTGTATAGTCACTACTGTACAGAAACATTCTTATCTGATTGTATGTAGTAATGGCCTTGCCAATTGCTCAGTACGACTGAGCTATTCCCCAAATTCTTAAACGTTCCTTACCCACTTCCTCTTACCTTTTCCACTGCAACAAAAGATTTCATTTGATTATGATTAATATCAGTTCCGAGAAGATGGATAAACTCAGAAAACTCAATTAAGAAAAGATCCAAAAACTAGTGCATTTTCTAAGCTCTAGTAATCCCACATGGTACATTAAAAAATTGGATTAGCAATCAATGAGTTTTAGGACCAAAAAAATGGTAAGTTTAACAGAATGATTTGAAGCCAGGGACGATCAACAAAAGTCCAATCGACCGCGTTCTGCGTTAAGCAGGGACGATTACGTCCTATTGACAGTGTTGACATAAACAATAATAAGATCAAAGGTTTTCGGAATTTACAGATTGTTTTCTTCTCTCCACCCACTTACGATTACTCCATCCTCTGTGAAATCAATACACTACTTAAACCATTCACTAAGAAACAGACAACAACATACTCGAAAATTCACAAAAACAACCAACAACAGATTTAGAAGGTGGAAAAAGAGAATACTTGAACATTAACAATAAAAAAAACCTCAAATTGGCTTTCAACAGATGGGGAAGCACGTAGAAAATCAATCAGAGGGAGAGGTGATTTGGCAGGGTTCGCGGAGAGAGGGGACGAGATCTGGGGTGCGGCGGTGTTGCGGTGGGGGTGGGCGGCGGGGTAGCGGGTGGGGTGGGCAGGGTGCGATTAGGGTCTGGGTTTATTTCGGGGTCTGCAACTGCAAGTAAAACCCATGAAAGAAAGAGAAAATTTGATAAAAGAGACCGGAGCGAATCAGAATTTGAGGAAATAGACTAGTTTTTTTTTATAACAAAAAAATGATGACGTGTATCTTACGTGACAAAAAATGGGTCTTATTAGTCTTAAGTGTATGGGTCATTTTCAAAAACTCTCTCATCACAAATCCGACCGCTCGACCCTCTTTTCCCCCCGAAATCGACCGCTCGACCCTCTCTCCACCCGACTGAGCTCTCTCACGACCGACCACCGGTTTTTCTCTCTGATCACCTCTCACCGACCGCCGGCTTTTCTCTCCGATCAGTCACCAACCTCACGGCCGACCGCCGGCTTTCCTCTCACCTGTTTCTCTCTCTCGCCAAAGTTCTCTTACCGGCCGATCCACTCTCTCCGATCTCTCTTGTCTCGGCCGACTGACCACTCCTCACCAAACACCGACCGTTCATCAAAAACTGACCTCCCTTCCCACTAAAACCGACCCCGACCACTCACCAAGTTCCCGACCACAAAAATCGACCATCTCCTCACCAAAATCGAACTAAAAACCGGCGGCTTTTAAACTAAAATGGCATCACAAAACAACTCTTCTTCCTTAAATAAAACGGCCATTTTTCGAACACTTGTCGACGAGGCAACGGAATCTGCTGAGGTAATATTCTTGTTTTACTTTTTCTTATATATTTTTCCAAGAACAAAAACTTAATATAAGCAACATTGATCTGTTCATAGTCGATTTTAGTCTGGTCTGTTCGCAGTCGGTTCTAGGTCGGCTTTAAGTCGTTTCTGGTGGTCGGTTCTTAGTTGGTTCTTGTCGAGTAGGGTCAGTTCTGGTCAATTTTGGTCGAATCTAGGTGAAGTCGGTTCTTGGTCAGTTGGTGGTCGGTTCGGAGTCGGTTCTTGGTCGGTTCAGGTCGGTTTTGGTCAGTTCTGTTCGATTTTGGTCGGTTCTGTCTGTTTGGTCGGTTCCTGCCAGGATTTTGGGTCAGTCATGGTCTGTTCAGTCAGTTCTTGTTTGGTTTCTTGGTCTATTCTAGTCAGTTCTGTCATTTTGGTCGGTTCTGACCGATGTGTTTTTTCTTCTTTTTCAGTATGACCTCCCAAAGTACAACACAGGTGAACTTCCTAGGATCAGACATCTAAAGATGATCATGGATCCTATACGGGAGTATTTCCCAGTGAAAGTGACTATGAAGTCAAAGATCGAGGCTTTGGAGGTAATAAGGCAGAATCTAGACCCCGAAACGGAAATGCCAATTTTCAAGGAATCTGCCTTCGGACATTTTATTTCGATGTCTAAAAATATGATCTATATTGGAGTGTTGACACAGTATCTGCTTTTGAGGCAGATAGAAATAAAAAAGAGACATGAGTTGTGGTTCATGGTTAATGGAACCACAACTAGGTTTGGAATGAGGAAATTTACATTAATTACTGGATTGAACTGCGGGGAAACTCCCGAGCCGGACGTGATCTTGAAAGCTTCGAAGAATAGAAGATTTTTGGAGCATTTTAAGTCCCACGTAGTACTTGTTGCTGATTTAAGAAAATTGCTCACAGGGAAGAAGATAAAAGGTAGCGATAAAGCAATACCGGCCGGTCCACTCTCTCCGATCTCTCTCGTCTCGGCCGACTGACCACTCCTCACCAAACACCGACCGTTCATCAAAAACTGACCTCCCTTCCCACTAAATCCGACCCCGACCACTCACCAAATTCCCGACCACAAAAATCGACCACCTCCTCACCAAAATCGAACTAAAAACCGGCGGCTTTTAAACTAAAATGGCATCACAAAACAGCTCTTCTTCCTTAAATAAAACGGCCATTTTTCGAACACTTGTCGACGAGGCAACGGAATCTGCTGAGGTAATATTCTTGTTTTACTTTTTCTTATATATTTTTCCAAGAACAAAAACTTAATATAAGCAACATTGATCTGTTCATAGTCGATTTTAGTTCTGGTCTGTTCGCAGTCGGTTCTAGGTCAGCTTTAAGTCGTTTCTGGCGGTCGGTTCTTAGTTGGTTCTTGTCGAGTAGGGTCAGTTCTGGTCGATTTTGGTCGAATCTAGGTGAAGTCGGTTCTTGGTCAGTTGGTGGTCGGTTCGGAGTCGGTTCTTGGTCGGTTCAGGTCGGTTTTGGTCAGTTCTGTTCGATTTTGGTCGGTTCTGTCTGTTTGGTCGGTTCCTGCCAGGATTTTAGGTCAGTCATGGTCTGTTCAGTCGGTTCTTGTTTGGTTTCTTGGTCTATTCTAGTCAGTTCTGTCGTTTTGGTCGGTTCTGACCGATGTGTTTTTTCTTCTTTTTCAGTATGACCTCCCAAAGTACAACACAGGTGAACTTCCTGGGATCAGACATCTAAAGATGATCATGGATCCTATACGGGAGTATTTCCCAGTGAAAGTGACTATGAAGTCAAAGATCGAGGCTTTGGAGGTAATAAGGCAGAATCTAGACCCCGAAACGGAAATGCCAATTTTCAAGGAATCTGCCTTCGGACATTTTATTTCGATGTCTAAAAATATGATCTATATTGGAGTGTTGACACAGTATCTGCTTTTGAGGCAGATAGAAATAAAAAAGAGACATGAGTTGTGGTTCATGGTTAATGGAACCACAACTAGGTTTGGAATGAGGAAATTTACATTAATTACTAGATTGAACTGCGGGGAAACTCCCGAGCCGGACGTGATCTTGAAAGCTTCGAAGAATAGAAGATTATTGGAGCATTTTAAGTCCCACGTAGTACTTGTTGCTGATTTAAGAAAATTGCTCACAGGGAAGAAGATAAAAGGTAGCGATAAAGCAAAGATTGCTATCATTTATTTTTTAGCACAAGTATTATTATCTGGGGACGAGAAGAAGACCGTCTCACTGGATTGGCTGTCTTACGTTGACGATTTAGAATTCTTCAACAGCTATCCATGGGGCAGGGTATCTTTTGAATGCACTCTGCGGGCTTTAAAGAAGAACATGAAAGATAAATTTTAGAAATGGGTTCGGAAAGGACGTAATAAGAGCATCAAGGAAACCTACTCAATATGCGGGTTTTCTTGGGCCTTTCAGGTATGTCATACAGTTATATGCATAATTTTTCATGGCCTTATAGTAAATAATACCATAATTGGTTTACTAGACTTAAAAAAATTGGTTTAACGCAGGTTTGGGCATTCGAAACATTTCCAACCATCGGCGCCATGGTTGCAAAGATGGTTGATGGACGTCTTCCCAGAATCCTCAAATGGGAGGCACGCCGGGTTTCATTGGTCGAGGTTAGACAGATAGACGACCTCATGCAAAGTGGCGAGGTACGGGTTTAAATACAATGTTTTTATAGGTGTAAAGTTTACAAAATAGGCATATTTGTTTTTTTTACAATATGTTTCCACCTAAATAATCATTGAATGTATGTTCTTTTAATATATAGGGAATGGCCGTACTAATTCTTTATCCCACTGAGGAGGAAATGAATAGTATGTGCATGAGGTTGTATATGCCTTATGCCAACCAAGAAGATCCTGAGATTGACCAGCTTGCATCATTTTTGGACTCTGGTGCAAGAATGGTCCATGTCCAGCAACCGAAGCCTCCCAAACAATTGGCTCGTCTCCAACTACTTCCCCAACAACAACAGTAACTTTCCCAACAACAAGCAACAACAACAATAACCTGAGCAACAACAACAACAACAACAACAACCGAGCAAGCAAGATGGTATGTCTATTGATTACATAGTTGACATACTCTATCACAGGATGACAGAGTACAATAGTAGACATTTTGAAGCCATCAACAAGAGGCTAGACTCGCTAGACCAATCTGTTAGAGAAATTTAGGACAATATAACATGTATAGCGAAACAACAATTACAGCCAAAGCCAGTGCCTGAGGAAGAACTTGAGCTACAAGTCCAGCCATACCCTGAGGTAGAACTTGAGCCACAGGTTCAGCCTGAGCCTGAGGCAGAACTTGAGCCTCAGGTTCAGCTTGAGCTTGGGACAAAACTGTTGTCCCGAATAAGGCTACCCAAGGGGGGGGGGGGGGGGGGTGGGGGGTGGT